GTTTAATTACTAGAGGCTTGGTGCACGAAATTCATGCACTTGGGCGGAGGTCTCTCAGCCTGGCCTGTGCCCTCTTGCACTCCAGGAGCCCTGGGGGGGTGTCCAACTGACGGCTTAGTGTGCCTAACCTGTCAGCCAGATATCCTTAGCATTGCCATGGAGGCAGAAGAGGCTCACCAGCTGTGAGCTTGGCTTCTCGCTGAGCAGCACTCCCCCTGTGGGAACACACTGACCACCACGGAGCAGCTTCTGCGTTCAGTGTCTGCCTCCTAATGGTCAATGTGCATCATAGTGACTGGGTCATTCCACCATTTGGTCATTTGCATATTAGCCTTTATTATTTAGGATATGCTGTACATGATGCCCCCTAGAACCATAAGAAATGAAAAATATTCACTGTTAAACCTGTTAACCGGGGAGTTCCCGTTTTAATTACACAACGTACAACGGGTACATACTCTTTCACTAGGACGTGTCAGTACGTCACGCCCAGTGGACGTAATTTTATATTATTTTTTAATTTATACTTAATTAAAATAAATGAAATATGTATTTTTCTGTTTATATATAAAGCAGAAAGGAAAATACAAAATTACAAACAAATAGAAAAGAATACCAACAAAAAAATGGAAACATCGAATTAAAAAATTATAAATTTTACAAACAATTATAAAGATTACAAACAATATATATTTTATATTTCTATACACAAAAAATAAAAAAGTTAACAATTACAGAACAATAAACAAAAGCACACAAATAAAATAGAAATATTGAGTTTAAAAAATTGAAATATAGATGTAAAAATTCAAAACTCAACTTCCGTGTGATATATTTTAAAACAATTGTTGACACATAGTGCTACCTTTCAATCCGGACATAAGTATGTAGATTCTTTCCTAACACCTTTTTGTAGCAAACTCGTCATTTCCTGGATTTAGTTTTTGCTATATTGCTTTTCATTTGTTCTGGAAAATGCCTTTCAACTAAGCGTGATGGTTTAGATGTAGAGCTGCTTGTTGATGTCTTTGAGTGGGTTTTCACTATGTTGTTATCTACCAATTTCTCTACACACACTATCAAAAAGTGTGATCAACCCAAATGACCTTTATCTTTTTTGTATATAATATATGCATTGAAGCAGCACATATAAATTAATCGTAGAAAAATTTTTTATAAAAATTTTTTACCCTATTACAGGCAGCCGTGTAGGCCACCATAAGTCCATCTCCCAAACCTACGCCGCCCATATAATCGTTATAATCCAGGACAACATTCTGTTTTTCTTGCCTTCTTCCTCTCTTTTCAATCATTGTCTTTTCGTCACTATGAATATAACTGAGCATAATACGTCTTTTTTTATCCTTCCATTTTAAAACCATAAGTTTGTCTTTGATTCTTACTATATGTTCATTTTTCTGTAATTTTTTTGTTTTTATTTCACTGGGAATTCCGACTCTGTTTATCCTCATTGTTCCAACAATGTCTGCATTGTTTTGACACAAGAGTTCAGCCAAATGAATTGACCTATAGAATTTATCTAAATAAATCAGTAAGTCATGTGTTAACTCGAAAACAATTCTTGTTGATTGTTTTTCTTGTGGGTAGTTTGAACCATAATTTGTGGCCTTTCCTGTGTATAAAATTATATTTTGTACGTATCCAGATTGGCTTTCACTCAAACAACTTCATTCCAAATCTAGCTCTTTTTGTAGATATATATTGTTTCCAAGATTAATTCCCTTTCCATAAAAGAGATTCATCTACACATATTTCTCGTTCACATACATAAAAACTTTCAAACTTTCCTGATAAATTATTGATGATTGGATCAATTTTATATGTTTTTCTATTATATAAAGGTTGGAGATATAAAAAAAATATAAGTAAATGATATATAATACGAAAATAGGTAGGTAAGTGTAAGTGTGTACCCATCACTGCTCACCCAAAACACGTCCACCACTCTCACTAGTGAAATTATTCTGATTCCCTCCGTGTCTTAAATTCATGTCGAGACATGTATGGATGACTAATACCTTTGCTGTTCGGAAATATAGTCCCGCCCGTTTCAGGGCACAACATATATTTCAAGGACGTATTCATATGTCCTACCCATACACGATATTGTTTACGTTTAACGTATTTATACGTCCTGCTCAGTTAACAGGTTAACTCATTCTCGAATTGCCCCCACTTAAAACCAATTGTCCCCCGTGGGGTGTGTGCTGCACTTTGGGAACCACTGGGATTGACACTTTTCCTCTCTGAGCTTCATTTTTGAATACATAAGCAATACCCTTTGAATTGTAATCTCTTTTCTGCCTACCTCACTGTGTTGTCATGAGGAGCTTCTGAGCTAATAAACCTAGAGATATTTCAACCAGTAAGTGATGTCTAAACGGGAAGTGATTGTTATTTTTAAGTTCATGGGTACCCTCGCATGTAGCAGGTGCTGATTAGGGGAGGAGGGCTTGATTGTTTCCGGGGACTGTAGCTATGGAAGCTTTGCAGAGGGTTCCACAGAAGGGAGGGCTCTTGCCAGCAGCCCAGTAGCGGTGATTGTCCTTGGAGGCACACCAATGACAGAGAAGCATTGATCGGTGTTTCTCTGCCTCCTATAGGCCCACTGTTAAGGATTGAGTCTGAAACCTGACAGGGAATGGATCCTGCCTGGAAATCAACCCCATGACCTCTTGGCTCATGGATGGACACTCAACCACAGAGCTCCCCGGGCCAGGCTATTTTGAATTTTTAGTGTTTATTCATTTCCCTTGATTTCAGTGAGTAGAGGGGAAAAAAGAGCCTTTATCCTGTTGTCTCCTTATTTTAGGCTTGCAATAAGTATTTGGATTAAATAGAAAAGTATTTATTCAAGAGACATTGGAGAATCTATTATGTGCTAGTTAATTTGTTAACTAGACAGCTATGAACCTTAAGTTCTATTGAGCCAGAAAAAGGGACATTTCTAAGAGAATTAATAGCACAAATTGTGTCATTGATTGCTTGGCTTACTACTCAAAAGAATAATACACTTTGTGAAAAATAATGCCAAAATTAATCTCATTGACTCTTGCCAGATGGCATCTAAGGTAGATTCTCAAGATATATTACAATTATGAAATGTGGGCGTTGGCATAAATTTGTGTGTCCATTGTTGAATTTAGTTAAGTGTCAGGTGACACTTGAAAGATCAAGTGTTTGCTGTAGGTACTTGAGTTTTTCATATGCACTGTGTAAATGAATCTATCAATGTTGCTCCAGAGACAGGGCAGAAGCGGGGAGGCACCCAGAGAAGGTTGGATTAGCCCAAGTCCACTCAAGGGACTGAAGGCACAGTTTGAAGCGGCCAGAGAAGGCCAGAGGGTTTCGGGACTGGGCCAGGCATGCAAGAGCTCTGCATGGACAGGTTTGGGTGTCAAAACAGGGCTGCAGGTAGGTGGACAGTGCCACGTGAATTCACACATAGGGCTCCCACTATATATATAAAATGGTAATATGCTAAGTGTTCATCTGACTGGTTGCTATGATGTGCACTGACCACCAGGGGCAGATTCTCAATATAAGAGCTGCTGTGATGTGCACTGGTCATTTACAGAGAAATGGCACCGTGGACCTGGCACCCACAAAGCAACACTCAACTTACCCCAAGTGGGACACAGTCCCCACCAGCACACCAGACCAACACCCCACCAAATCTCAGCCGACACTGCCAAGACCGGTGGTGCAAAATGCAGCCCACAGCCCAGCCCATAAACAGTGGCTATGGGCACTGGGTAATGATGTCATGTAGCAATACCTGGCTTCCTCTCCCTAGCGACTAGCATCCTTGCAGTTTCTTCAGCCCCGGAACACGAATTGTTTTATAACCAGGTGGAAACATTTCACACTTTAACCAAATGTCTGTGAAGCGTTTTCTTGTGCCTCGTCTCATTTGATCCTCACAGAAGTCCTGGAGTAGGTAGATAGGAGACTTGGTAGAATCCTATTTTCTCTTCATTAGCTGAAAAATGGAGATTTTGAAAGCTTAGAAACTTGACACAACTGAAAAAGAAGTAAGAAATGGTGGACCTTGAAAATGACTTTAGGTTTTCTCACTGCACAGAGTATAGTCAAATACTGCTGCAGTTAAATAGTTTACCCTTTTTTTCTTAGATGATCTATAATAATAATCTGCTTCATGTTGATATTTGTTGCTCTATTGCTGACAATTACCTGAAAAAGAAGTTGGGTTGCTTCACTGGGCTGGGAAAAGTTTAGCTAAATCAGAAGGCAGGGTCTTAATTAAACAAGTTTATTCTATATATATAAAAGGCTAAGTTGACTTGCACTTGTGCGATATATATAAAGCTCTTGCTGGCACCAATTGCATGCATGTGTTTTGATCTGTCATTGTTAGTGGTGAATTGGGTTTGGGTGTCAAAAATAGTATATTTTTATGGTTTGTTTTGTATTTATGATTTGCTACTCACCACAATACTGTGAAGTAGGCTCGACATGTTTTTTATTTTGTGGCTGAGGACTCTGAGGCTAGAGGTTGGGGCTTGTACAAAGGTAGACTCCTTTTATGCCTGTTCTATCACAGGACTTGAGCCAAGGTGTCCTGACTTTAGGTGCAATGCCGTTTTTTGCAGTGTTAAAATGTGGAAATAGACAGATTTCTGCTTTACTCTCTTTGAATTGTGAATTCCTGGGCATTTCATGAGAAATCTTAAGTTAATTTTATATGCTGTGTTGTAGACCTCATGCCTTGAATTTGGTATATTTTTGACATTTTATAACACACTAGTCAATCATACTTAGTTTAAATAAGACAGTGTAGCATTTATGAAGATTACACAACCAAATTGTTTATTTAAAATTTCCCCTTTATCTTTGGTGTCCACTTCTTTTTTCCAGTGTTATGCTATGTATAACTGATATTTTTTTCTCATTTTTTTTTTCCTTTTAGTGAATGGTAGTGTCTAGAAAGGGTATGTCCCTTCAAGAGAGAGGTGCCAATGTCCAACCGGCCTAATAACAATCCAGGGGGGTCACTGCGACGTTCACAGAGGAACACTGCCGGGGCCCAACCACAAGACGATTTGATAGGAGGAAGGTATGTATAAATGGTATTAAAAAGGAATCGGAAATAAAAGAAAATATTTTTAAAACCTCATTTTGAGGACCAAAATTTGAATGGTTCACTACAAATGGGTAATTTCTTTCTATCTTTGAGCCAAGAAACACAAAACTGGAATTGAAAGCAGTTCTTTAATCATTTCCCAAATATGCCAGTCTCGAAATAGAGTTCTTCATCATAGACATTATTAAAAATCTAATTTAATGATGGTTAATATATGGAATGTCATGTTTTGTTTGCTCTTAACTTCTCTAAACACATGCTACAACACATCTTTCAACCCTTTCTGGTTCCTTTATGTATGTCTTGACTTGATTGACTTCATTGAATAGAACTTTCATTTGTTTTAATATGTAGAGTTTTGTTATCTAGCTTTTGAAATCTTTTTTCATTGTCTTAATAACATGGATGCTGACAGGCTGGTTTGTTAGCTCATTTTTTTAGTGGTCTGATGTTCAGCTCATCCTTCTAGTTGGAGTGGTGGTTGTAATAGCAAGTAGTGTGAAAAATCAGATGTGTTCTCTTGAATGTAAAATTCCCTTTCCAATCTAGCCATTTTATGTGTAAGATTCAGAACTTCTTGCAAAGACTGTTATTTTATGTGTAAGATTCAGAACTTCTTGCAAGGCCTTCTTTTCCAGTCCATGGAATAATCATGTTTAGCTTGCAATAAATAATAGCTAAGTACTAATATGATTATCTGATGCAACATTTTTATGCATATTTATGTATATATTGTCTAGTAAGTTATAAGAAATGTTTTTTAAATGTTAAAATGCAAAGAATAAACGGAGACACTTCGGACATCAAGCTATTTTTGTGATTGAGCATGTGGACTTGGGATTAGTATAGCTTTGCATGCAATTTCTGCCTTTGCCATAAAATAGCTGTGTGTTCTTTGTTAAATCTTTCAGGAAACTTCAATTTGGTTCACACAATGGGGATACCTATTTCACAGTGTTATTGGTTAACTTTAGTATTGTCGTTTGTTAAGCTCATAGCAGAATGCTTAAAACAGAATTCTGTTCTGAATTTTTTGCTTTGTTTCTGTTGGTTTTTTTTTTAGATTGTGAAGTAGCCACGTTATTTGTCATGTTGATTAAATAATATCACTGCCCCATTATAAAAATGGTGCATACTTATTTTAGAGATTTTGGAAAATACAAAACAGTGTAAAGAAAAACATGGCTCCACTTACAACCACTGTTTTACTGGCATATATCTCCTTACTTTTATTTATTTATTTTTTTTACTGCATGTATGTATATATGTGCATCTATGTGCTCATAAGTAACTTGTTTCTTTTGAACAACTTCAGTTTTTATACACATTAATCCTCAGGTCAATTTATACTCTTGCACATGACTGATAAAACATTTTAGGCTGTCACACAGTACATTTTTTCTAAAATCCACAGTGATGTTTTCAGACATCATTGTTATAGAAAATTATTTCAATATTGTATTTTATATTTTAAAAATATGAGCCTGAAACAAATGGAAGTGGTTAATACTAGTGTATAAAGATACGTTGGTTTACATAACAAAGTTGTAATCAAAATGCAACTTAATTAAATTTATAGAATGACATATCTTCCACTGTAGTTGATGTGCTTTGAGTCAATAAGCTCAATTGTGAAGGAAAAGAATACATTTTAAAATGCGTTTTCTTTGAATTGTGAATTCCTGGTCATTTCATGAGAAATCTTTAGAATGTCAGAAAACATGCCAAAGAATATAAAGCAAAGTATAAGTTAGGGTTTTATGGCTTTAGCATTCCCTCTTTAAATAATGTAGACATTTCAATTTTCACAATTTTAGCCTTTGCATGTCTCCAAAAAATGCTTCCCCCAAAAATACTACACAAAAGAGGGCCTTTTCACTTTTTTAAAAACCTGTAATATATATATTATTTCCTATATCTTTTTTTTTTAATATATTGATTTTTTTACAGAGAGGAAAGGAGAGGGATAGAGAGTTAAAAACATCGATGAGAGAGAATCAACGATCAGCTACCTCTTGTACACCCCCTACTGGGGATGTTCCCGCAACCCAAGTACATGCCCTTGACCGGAATCAAACCCGGGACCCTTCAGTCCACAGGCTGACACTCTATCCACTGAGCCAAACCGGTTTCGGCTATTTCTTATATCTTTAAACATTTTTAAAAATATATATTTTATTGATTTTACACAGAGAGAAATTGAAGAGGGACAGAGAGTTAGGAACGTTGATGAGAGAGAAACATCGACCAGCTGCCTCTTGCACACCCCCCACTGGGGATGTGCCCGCAACCAAGGTACATGCCCTTGACTGGAATCGAACCCGGGACCTTTCAGTCCTCAGGCCGACACTATCCACTGAGCCAAACTGGTCTCAGCTATATCTTTAAACATTTTTTAAAGACATGACTGTTAAAGTCTCTATTTTATGTTCAGTTGTGTGTTTATACCATAATCTATACTAATAAAGAAACATGCAAATTGACTGCCATTCTGCTACACCCATCAGTCAATCGGGAGTGGATATGCAAATTAACCCAACAAAGATGGCAGCTGATTTACATACGTAGGTAGAGCAAAGACAGAAGACTGCCTAGAAGGATGCCAAATACTGGGGGAGGAAGCAAAGTGGCAGAGAAGGGAGGGAGCGAGGCAGCGGAGAATGGAGGGAAGCCCACCTCTGCAGGCTTTGATCCCTTCTTTGCTTCGCTCAGGCTGTAGGAAGCCCTATTCTTGCAGGAATCTTCCTGCAACAGGCGTCTAATTTAATAATAACTGAATATACATATTTTTCTATTGATAAAATAATGGTCAGGGTATAGAAATCTAGATATTTAGCCAATAATTTTATCAGTAAAATTAGAATTCATTGTGCCTTCTTGGACAGCTTGATTCTTTTGCTCAAAATAGAATCTCAGAGCTAGAAGGGACCCTTTCATCAAAACCTAGACTGACTTTTGAAGTCCCAGTAGAGTGTTGCTCTTTTGGAAATTTTCTAACCTTTAAGAAATCTCTTATGATTTTGGGGAGTGAGAGAATTGGGATTGTGCGAGAGCAATTATAACTATATCTTCATTCTCTTTATCTGACTCCTGTAGCTTAGCTCTCCTAAGTAAAATGCTGTTAATTGTGGCTTTTGTTTCCTAAAACAATAGACTTAGTCTTGTAAATATATTCACTGTAATAATAATTAAAAAATGGTAATAAATAACAGCATCTACTATAATAGCAACGGTGTGGAGTGTTTTAAGTTAAAATATATTTTAAACATATCTTTTATACAGGAACTCTGTGCTAAATATGTAATCCCTGTGTAATAAATATGCTAGCTTGCTCAACTTCACCCAGAATGTAGATTCCAGGACCTGATGATTCCTGACCTTGACTCTAAAGTCAGTGATTCTTTTCATTATGTCAGACTGTTTTTTACTGCACAAACCACCTGATTAATATGATGAAATCCTTAGAGCAGTGGTTCTCAACCTTTCTAATGCCACAATGCTTTAATACAGTTCCTTTTGTTGTGGTGACCCCCGACCATAAAATTATTTTCATTGATAAAAAGTAATTTTGCTTACTGTTATGAATCATAATGTAAATGTGTTTTGTGATGGTCTTAGGCAACCCTCCTAGTGGTTCTCTGCTGCTGTAGAGCATAAGACCATCAGAAAACACAGATATTTACATTACGATTCATTATCAGAAGCAAATTATAGTTATGAAGTAGCAATGAAAATAATTTTCTGGTTGGGGGTCACCACAACATGAGGAACTGTATTAAAGTGTTGCAGCATTAGAAAGATTGAGAACCACTTTCTTAGAGGAAGGTATTAAGAAATTATAATTGAAGAGTATTAACCTATCCAGTTTAAAAGTTAAGTAGCAGTTTTTCCCTTGTAGAATTTTTTTTTTATTCATTTATTTTTTATCTACTCTGTTTTCTTCCAAATTTATGCTGTCATCTTTTTGTAATTTTCTTTCTGTGACCTCACCTGTCCTTCTTGCAAGTCAAGGTCAATTACCTTTTTTTTTTTTTTTTTTTGTAAGAGTTTTTCATCATTAAGATAAAAGAAAGTTGGATCTTTGGAATATATTAACCTCCTGATTATTCCCTCTGCTCTTTTTCACTCATCCCTCGTTTCTTTCCGTAATTGAACTAGACATCTTACTCCTCTTCTATCATTTTTTTCTTTTCCTTTTTTCCTTAATTTTTTGGGGCTATCGCTGATCTGTTCCTCTCTTTTCTGTTCTCTTTTTCTTTAGGAAATCACTCCCTTCCACTGCTTCTCTGTTGGCTTGCTCTCAGGGATACTTCTAGCCTTTTCCACTTCTAGTACAGGTATTTGTAGGCTCCTCCTCCCCCTTGGCCATGCAGTAGCATTTTCATTGTATCATGTGCTTTTTCTTGTTTTTCTCAAATGGCAGTGGTGGGATTGAATTCAATTTTATAGCAACTTTGGATAAGGTTGCTATATTGATAAGTTTCTTTGATATATTTTTTTATACAGACATAGCATGTTAAGAACGAAAAATTGAGAAGCTTCAGGAAAATTAAGAAAATAAATTTACTTTGACCGCCCAGAGATAATGGTGTTTGATAATTCTACTCTTATTTGTTTATTCCTTTTATTGAATTTATTGGGGTGACCGTGGTTAACACAATTCTGCAGGTTTTGGTAGTGAATTCTATTTTTACTCCATGATTTTCTGAGATATTAAAGCCCATGATTTAAATGTGGGCCTCTGGTTTTTTCTCCCCCCACCCTCTCCACTGCCCTGTCCATACCCAGTTTTTTCCTGTGAAATACATTGCTGTGCCTATTCCATTTGACTATGGCTCTGATTTCATCAAGTGAAATTCCATAAATAGGTTTATAAAACCTAAGGATATGAATATTCTGAAGCTTAACAAATAGCTAACTTTCACAAAGATCAGACTGCTTTGTCTTTTTATTTTTATTGTGATCCAATTTAT